TTATTTTAAAAATAAAAAAAATCCAAATGGTGGTGCCATGGTTTGAGTAAATTATTTCGAAGGTTTGGATACTATAAAGACTACAAAAAATTTTAATTAGTAATTTAAAAAATTAATAAAATGATAATAATATTTTTAATTTGAAATTAGCATGTAGTTTGATTTGTAAATGTTAACAACATGAGAAAGTTTATTTTAAAAATCATTTTCACTCAATAATATTTTATATGTTAAATAATTTTTAAGTATTATCATTTACTTATTTTTTTAAATTTTTTTAACGCATGCATTACAATGGTCACGTGCTAGTTTTGTAAGAATCTAATAACCATTTATGTGAAATACTCTTCATTTTTTTTTTGGTGTAACATACTTTTCAAATTTTCGAGGGGAAAAACTCTTCAATTAGTGGCATGAGATTGAATTTTTTTACAACAAATTTGTGTTGTTCCATTCCATTATCTTAATATCATTTTTGAATTTTATGTGTGTTAATATTACTTTTTTGGTCTTCAACTATTTCGTGACATCACATGGATTTGGCAGTTAAAGTGGAAAAAATTGGATTACGCAATATAATTACAAAATTCTATTAATTATGGCGAGCCATGTTAGCTAGCCTTCATAACGCGCACAAGTATGTAATGGAGTACGTGTTTACAAATTTTATTGAAGTTTAAGAAAGTTAAAGTTGAATGCATGTGCCTTAAATAAAATTGTCTATAGTAAAATAATATCTATGAGTAACTAAAAAAATAATGTTTTTAAATATTATATATAATATTTTTACTTACACTTTGTATGGAGAAATTGGGCCACCTCATTGAAGATGAAGTTAGAGAAGGGAATTGGAAACCAGTCAAACTATCCAAAGAAGGGCCATCGATAACTCATCTTTTCTTCATGGATGACTTGATTTTGTTCAGTGAAGCCAGTAGAGATCAAGTGGAGACCATTGCAAAATGTCTTGAAAAATTTTGTGAGATGTCTGAACAAAAAGTGAACAAAAGTAAAACCAAGATGTGTGTGTCCAAACATGTTCACTTCTCAAGGGCTATGGATCTAAGTCAAAGATTAAGTGTTGGGCTAGCAGCTAGCCTGGGAAAATATTTGGGAATTCCTCTCCTTCATCAAAGGCTTTCAAAACACGACTGCAGTATCTTATTTGATAAAGTTAGAGGAAGAATCTCGAGAAGGAAGAGTGAATTCCTTAATAGTTCTTGAAGAACAATACTTGTAAAATCTGTGCTCAATACCCTTCCAACATATCTCATGCAAACAATGCTTACTCTCCAAAGGGATTTTAAAGGAAATTGAAAAAGACAGTAGAGATTTCATTTAGTCTCTTGGAAGGAATTGCAAAAAGGAAAAGGAAAAGGGAGGCTGGGAATTAAGGATTCATGCATTCAGAATGAAGTAGTCATTATGAAATTATGCTGGAATTTAGCAAACAAAAGAGGTGCATTATGGGTTAAAGTGATCAGATCAAAATATAAGGCGGCCAAGCCTATCATTCCTGTTGTCAATAGGAAAAGAACTGCTTCGAAGACCTGGAAAAGCATAACAAAAATCTGGAGCAAATTCTTAAAGGGGATAGAAAGCAGAATTGTGACAAATAGTGGGATTTGATCTTGGGCGGATAAGTGGAATGACATGGAGGCTCCTCTTTTCAATTTAATCCTGAACTTCAATCAGAGGATAAATATGGAGGATAGGGTGTCTGATTTTATGAAATCAGATGGGACTTGAAATTGAAGCAAAATGGAACCCTGGCTATCATCAGACATAATAAATAGGATACACTGTTGGCTCCTTTTCTATAAAATCTGCACGTTCTTTTATCTTTGCAGGGTGAAGACCAATCTGATCATTGTGTGGAATTCAATCTGGAGAGCAAATATTCCAGAGAAACTGAAGACCTTTTTATGGTTCCTAGAGAAAATCAAGCTACACTCTGAGAAAGCTCGAAGGGGGATCAATGAATCGGCAAGCTATCCTTTTGGCTGTATTGATGATGAAACAAGCTTACATGTGATGAGAGACCGTCAAATTACATGTGATATATTGAAGGATTTAGTAGAAGAAGACCATTGGCAGAATTTTATCAGTTTTGACAACCTTCAATGGATCAAGTGGAACTCTAAACAGGAAATTGGTAGACCAAATAGAAGAAAGGTACCTTGGTTCATTTTATATGTGTATACTTGCTGGGAATTATGGGTTTTGAGATGTAAAAGACTTTTTGATCTATATGATAACATACATGTGTTGGATGTTAACAAATGCATTATGAAAGCACAAATAGAAAACCAACTGTTGGGGAAAGTTTGCAACAAGAGGAATGCCCTGGAACGCCAATCTGTTTGGCACCCATCAAATCCGGGTTTCTTGAGAATAGACATCGATGTGTCAGTGATGCCTTATGGAAACACAACCTGTGGAGGTGTAATCACAAATGAACAGGAGTCTTGGGTTTTGGGGTTTTGCCGTAAATTGAAGAACCTGCCACCTACAATTGCAGAACTTATTGGAATCAAGATGGGATAGAATTTTGCTGGAACCATGGCATTAACAACATTGAAATGTTCAGTGACTACGCTGTTGCCATAAATCTTATTTCACGTGATCAAGTGTTTAGCCATCCTTTCCAAGACTTGATTGAAGAGACAAAATCTTTATTTTTCAAAAGCTGGAATGTGTCTTTAAATTTTATGTTTAGGGAAGCTAACCGTCTTGCTCATAATTTAGCTAGAGCTTGTCACTCTTTTGATAATGATTTGTACATCTTTGATAAAAAACCACCATTCCTATAATGGGGATAGTTGATGAGAGATTTAATTGTAATTTTTTGTAGACTTTTGTCCCCTATTTCTCTTTTGGGTTAGTAATATATATTCTTTCCATTTTTTATTGTCGGACATTTTTTAATCATTTCACACATATTAAAAAAATTAATTTTTTTTCTTGATATCATAAAAAATGAGATGTACTTTCATGTTTACTCTTAACTTTAAATCATTATACAACTATATTAAATGTTGTTACGTTAATCAAGAAAGAGTAAAATTAAAAAAATTAATTTAATTATTATAAAGTGTTGTACATTTTAGACTAAAAATTACTTTTAAAAAATGTTTTACAAATAGGATAGAAGGGAGCAAGCGAGTGCGTGCACACACACGCACACGTATATATATTATTCACACATCATAGTATATTTTAAGATAAAAGAGCAAATTGGCTCCTCAACTATAAGTTCATGAGCATTTGGAATTTTAAACTCATTTTTTTGTATAATGTTTCCTTTTAAGTTTTAAAAACAATGCAATTTGATCCTAATTGTTAACAAATTTAATTGACCATTAGTTGACTAGAAAATAATAGAAAATGACCTCAAAAATTATTAAAAAAAAAGGATCAAAATTTTAGTTTGTCAAAAATTTATTTGTAAAAATTAATTTAATAAAAGTTAATTGTTGTAATGAAATCAATTTACTCAAATAATATTGGGTGTCCGTGTCTCCAAAGTGCAAAGTTATTTTTTGCATGTGAAAAAGGGAGTTACCAAGGGTCCATAGTTTCAATTTCACTTTATATTTTGTCAATCACATGTCGTTGATGGATTTATGCACTTCGATCGAACTTGTGATTAAATTCTACAACTTATTTATCATATCATTTTTTTGTAGCAATTGTCTTTGCAAATATTGCAATTTGCAACCACTAGCAGGCTGTGGAGGAGTAATTAGAGGTGAAGCAGGCTAATGGATTTTCTGCTATTGTAAGAAAATTGCCTAGCCTTCCTGCTGTAATTGCTAAAATATGTGGAATTACCAATGGTTTAGAAATTTGTTGGAATCATGGTATTAGAGATGTTGAGGTTTGTCGTGGTTGTTCATATGCTTTCAACCTTCTGACTAGAGGCCAAATCTTGGACCACCCTTTTTCAGGATATCATTCAAAGGGCCAGAGAATATTTATTTCATAGATGCAATGCTTTTATTAAAAGCGTGTAAAAAAATATGTTATTGTATTGCTGACTATTTAGTTAGGAAAAGTCATGAAATTGATGCTGATTTTTTTATCTTTGAACAATTCGTACCATTCTGTCAAGGAGTTGTGGTTGATGAAGGATGAGCCTTCTCTCCCCTTGAGCTGCTCTTTTGTATTTGTTGTTTATTCTATTGAATATTAGTTTCTCTTTTTATAAAAAAAATAAGTCTTTAAAGTGATTTTTTGCATTTCTCCACCCTCTTAAATTCTTGTCACGAGGCATGCGAATGATGATAGGAGGGAGTTTATTGCCACTAATAATATGTGAACTTGTTTTGTTATTACCTAAGTGAAGTTGTTACTTGTATTGAAAATATAATATAATTTTTAGATCCTAAATTTTTTATGAATTATCAATTGATTAGCATGGAATTGGAATTGGAGAAGTTGAATTGAAAAAATAAATTATTTGATATGATGGATATCACTTTTCTAAAGAATCAAATTCCATCAAAATTGGTAAAATTCACTTTCACCTTCCTATCCATGAACCTACTTCCTTCTCACTTCCTTCATAAAAAATACCTCATTTTCATGTACAAACCAAACATATTTTAAAACTCCACTTTCACTTTTACTTTCTCTTTCATAAAATACTCTTTCATGCTACCAAACGAGACATTAGTTCTCAATCACAACTAGCTATCAGTCACAACTAACACGTTCTCATAAATATTTGTTTCATATTTTCAATGTATATTTGAGTGTTAAAATAATTGAGCACAAGCTGATTGTTAATGGAGTACAAATCCTAGAATCATATGATGATCTTATGACAACAACCATTATATATATATATATATATATAAATGACTGCACGATACAAGAGTACATTGCAAATTATAACCCTATAAATGCACCACTGATGAAGTCAAGCAATTAATACTTTTGCAATTTGAAGAAGAATGAAAAGGGGGAAAAAAACAATTTTAATGTGCAGAATGGCAGAACTGGGCAATCTGATATTATATATTAGTTAGGTCAAATAAAACAACAAACATCTGGTATAGAGTATATACATTCATCTTTCTGAATAACATCTCTAAAGGGCATGAAAACCCTATAGTTACACAATAATCTAATCTGATATGGATTTATTTCCGCCAAAATATTCAAACAAAAGTAATCAATAACCTTTCCGATCAATGTTCTTCAAAGTGGATGTTTCCAATTCCATCTGGTACAAGGCTTTCCACATGCTTGAAAAAACTGTCCACATAATTGAAAAAATAGCCACCTCTGGGATAGCAACCTTCTTAAATTCATTAGTAGTCATATTCAACAGATATATAACAGCCTTTTGTTCGTCATTCTCCACTTCACCTTCACTTTCATCGGTATTTCTATGCATTCCAGAATCAGAACATACCATTTCATTCCTCCAAATGCACCCAAGTTGTAACATGTTGGAAGGGCCCTTGCAAGCACATTTCTTAGTCGAAGACCATCTCTCCGTAGATGAACCTATACCCTCCTCTAGCACCCACAAATCAATCAAAGAATATAGATAGTTTAGAAAGTTTCCAATGTTAGATAGAGAAAGTGCAGCAAATTTGTCCTCATTCACAGTAAACTTATAATTTGAATAACAAGAATCAGGTATAGGAGGCCATTGTATCAACTCAAACACTTCCATTGCTATGTCAATAAAACTATCAAATCAGAATCATATTCACCCTCCTCTTTCTTTTGACCATGCCAAAAGATAGTTCCGTTTGCTGTGACAGTATCCTGAATAAAACGTACACCCTCCAAGCTTCCAAATTCTATTTCCTTCCACAAACCTGTACTTAACGAATACACTTCAACTCCACTAATCACATCATCATAATCATAAGTTTTCACTATCTTATAGTCATTAACAATTGCACTGAACCCAAATCCTAATGTGTATATACACTCACCAAACTTAACAGTTCTGGTCCTAGGTATCTGTCTGACCTCTCCAATAGCAGGATTCCACAGTAAAAGGGAATTGCACAAAAGAAGGGAAGAAGTAGATATATCAGTCTCATGGATTGCAACACAGAGCAAGCCATTGCTGGAACCGATGATCTCAACGTCCCGTAAGGAACCGATCAAAGGTGCGTTATGAACTTCATGGACATGCATCTCGCGATCGAGCGAACGCAATTGCAAAGGCTCATACATACTGTTCTGTTGGATAAGAAGAGAAGGGCTTTGATGAGTGGAGTGGTGGAGGTGGTCAGCGATGAAAAATGGCGTTTTGAAGAGATTCTTCCAATGTTTGCAGACACATTGAAATCGGATTAGGGATTTGACAGGGAGTCGTTTGAGAATGTTTCTGATTATGTCTTGGAAGAAATGGCGCGTCGCCGTGCACTTGCGTCTGACTCATAGTGCTTGACAGGAAAGAACAGATCTCGCAAAGGAAATTAGAACAAATTGAAGGAAGAGAATCAAAACCATGCACCTGAGCTTCAAGTCGTCAACCGAGAAGAAGGAACATCGCAGAGTAAAGCCGTCGCAATCAATGAGGGATTTCATGAGTCCCCCTGAAGACAAGGAGAAGACGGCCGCGACCCAAGTTTACATATTACTTCCACTTCACGGAAAACGATTTTTTTATTTTTAACACGGGTTGGTAGAAAAGAAAAACTTTTTTTTAATACGTAATTATTACTTTTCTTAAAGTATCCTGATAATGACTTTATATTTATTGTAAGTTATTTAATAAAAATAAATATAAAAAAAATAAAGTTAGTTTAAAAATAGGTAACTACTTTATTGGCGATGAGATTTAATTAAAAATATTTTATATTTTTTAACGGAAGGAGTAATTTGCACTACATTTTAGATATTCTGTATAAATATTTAAAAGTGGTTGCTGAAAATAATAGGAAGGGAATTGATTAAAAAATAAAATAATTAAAATATTAAAGAAAAAAATCAACCATATGTCAATAAAAGAAATAATCATGGGAGAATTTCAAATAACGATCATAGATATGACATAATTACTAATGCATCTTAAAAAATTTTAAAATTTTAGTTTCGGAGGATAAAAGTAAAAATAATTGTAATTGTGAAAAGACGAAAGTACTTTTAACTTGTCATGTAAAATCATTAGTTGTTAATTTTCTTATTTCACCTATTAATTTACTAATATAAGATACAAATTACATGAGTTAATATGTCAATAATTATATAAGACTTATATTAGTTGTTCAATCATAAGTAACAATATCAATTATTAAATTATTAACTTTACTTATTAATTTATTAACATTAGTTCTAAATTACTGATAAATCTTGTAATTTACTAATATCAACTATAAATTACTAACAAGTCTTGTAATTTATAATTAATGTTGGTAAATTAAAAAATAAAGTTAGAAAATTAATGGCTAATGTTACTACTTGTCTAACAAATTGATATAATTTACAAGTGATATAAAAAAATTAATAAGTGAAGTAAGAAAATTAATAACTAATAATTCTGTTTGAAAAGTAAATGGTACTTTTATTTTTAATAGTTAAAATTATTTTTACTTTTATCTTTTAAATTGAATTAAAATTTTAAAATTTTTTAAAATTCACTAAAAATTATATCACATTCCTAATCATTATTTAAAATTCTCCCAATAATCAACTAATCCAAAAGTTAGTAGTCATAATTCACAACATTTGTGAAGTTTTTGATGATTTTCATGTTATATGATATGTAATGTTAAGTTTTATTATATTCATAGAGAAATATAATTTTATTAATTTGGTTAAAAGAGGGAGAAGAATAATTTATTTTTTTTATTCATTCTATTCCTATCTTTCTTAATAATTAAAAAGCTAAATATACAGTGCATAATGCGTATCAAATATATATATATATATACACACACACAGCGCGGAGCAAAAGCCATGCCAGATCTGAATTTTTCGGTTACTGTCCAATCAAACAACTAATAATGAGATCCCATTTCAATGTCATCTGGGATATATTATTAATTTAAATATCTATTCTCTCTATTTAAAAATATAATATATTTTTAATTAAATTTTATTTTTTAATAAAATAGTTACTTATTTTTAAATTAATCCTATCTTTTATATTTATTTTTATTAAATATCCTATGATAAATAGAAAATTACTATTAATGGGGACACTTTAAAAAAAGACAATGATTACACCTCAAAAGATTAAAAATGCTTTACATTTTTAAATACTCAACTCCTCAAAAAATATCTTACATTTTTGAACGGAGGGAATATTTCATTTTATAAGAATTTAATAACCATTTATGTGAAATACTCTTCATTTTTTTTTTGATAAATTATACACCTTAAATTTTCGAGGGGAAAAATCTTCAATTGGTGGCATGAGATTGAACTTTTTCACAACGTATTTGTGTTGTTCCATTCCATTATCTTAATATCTTTTTTGAAATTTTTGTTTGAGTTAATATTACTTTTTTTAAGTCTTCAACTATTTTGTGAAATCACATGGATTTGTAGAAAAATTGAATTATGCAATATTATCACTAAATACTATTAATTATGGCAAGCCATGTTAGCTAGCCTCCGTAACATGCACAAGTACTGAATGGAATCCATGTTTACAAATTTTATTAAAGTTTAAGAAAGTTAAAGTTTAATGCCAGTACTTTGAACGAAATTGTTTCTAATAAGATGAGATCTATGAGTAATTAAAAAATAATATTTTAAATATAATATATAATATTTGTTTCTTTAATAAATACATCTTTTTATTATTTAGTCATTAACCTTTTAAAATATATTATTTACAATTCATAGTATATGTTAGGGCAAAAGAGTATTTGGTGCAATGTTAGTTGACCAGGAGCGTTGGGCATTATAAATTTATTTTTAATGTAATATTTTTTTTAACTTTTAAAATAATGCAATCTGACTCTTATCATTAACAAATTTAATTTGATTGTTAGTTAAGTAAAAATGATTCTAAAAATAAAAAAAATGATTAGAAGTTAGTTTGGAAAAAGTTCATTTGAAAAAAAAAAACAAAGTTAGTTGTTATAATAAAATTTATATTTGAATATAGTTTTTAAATATTAGTTTGGTAAACTAAAAATTATTTAAATTATATATAAAATAAAATATGCTTTTGAATATATAATTATAAAAAATTTATTGGTTTTTATAATTTGTAATTTTGTTATAAAAATGTTTCGTATCAATAATGTTTGAAAACTACATATTATAAAAATTTTAAACATAAAATTTGATATTTAATATTTTATTTAAGTTAAAGGGAACTTCACAATTATAAAAATTGAAATTCTTTATTTTATTTAAATACAATTAGATAAAATATGTGCATTAAACATAATTTAAAACCCAATGGTTCATAACTAATAATTAACATTAAGACATATTATTAGTTATTATATAAATTTGGTTTAACTGTAAAAATACAAAATAAATATTAATTTATATATGGATGATTGGATCACATTATAATTTTTCTCGAGGTTACAAGAAAGGTATGGGCCCGAAGTTTCATTCATTGTGAATTGTTACCAATATCAACCCTGGCTCAATGCACTTTTTCGTTTGGACGTGCTTTCGAAAAGTTCGGGTGTTGATATTTGCCCAAATAATGTTGGCCATCTCCGAAGTGCAAAGTGACTTTCTGTAATTGATTAAATTTAATTAAAAATTATAATTTTTTATTTTAATAAATATGAAATTAAAATTAAAATAAATATATTTAATTTGAATTGTCCAAGTTATTTAATTGTGGTTGAGAGGAGGGAATCCAATTCCCCCAAAATATTAACCCTCTTAATTTTACCTGAGCTATTGTCACCTTTTTTTTTTTTAAACCATGGTCAGTCAAGTTAGCTAGGTCCAATCCTTCATAATGTGCACAAGTATTTCATGGGGTCCAATGTGTCACAAATTTTATTAAAGTCCGATAAAGTTATAGTTGTTATAATTTTTTTATATGTACTCCTTTCATTTAAAAATGTGAGTCATTTTTTGAGAAGTTGAATGTTAAAAAATATGAGGTATTTTTAATCTTTCAAAAGTATAATCATTTTTTTTCCAAAAGTGTCCTTATTGATAATGACTTTATATTTATTATAGGGTGTTTAATAGAGGTAAATATAAAAATATAGGGTTAGTTAAAAAGTAAATAACTATTTTATTGGGGGGTAAGATTCGGTTAAAAATGGTTCACATTTTTAAAAGGGAGTAATATATAATATTTGTATTTTAAATATAATATTTACACTTCATAGTATATTTTAATCTTGAGAATGCTTGACTTAAAAAGTCTTTAACTCATTTTTATATATCTTTTGTGGCCAGAACTCATTTTTTTACATAATTATGGTATTTTTGATACTATTATATTATATTTGGGTATTATTTTAACATAGTAGAATGTAGTTCTCTCATATAAATTGAAAAATAAAATAAAATTATTGGTACTTATACTTTTAGCATGTTTTGATATTAATTCTTATACTTTTTTTCTCTGCTCCAAATCTCTTAAATTTTATTGATTTGTAATATTAATTCTTATATTTTTAAATATGACTATGAAAGCTTAATTGTGGCTAAAGTGTACATAAATTGCATTACTTATTATACTGACTTGTTAAAAATTAAAACTATAATGAGTTGTATAAAAATGAGTAAAAGACAATAAAAACTAGCAAGACATTAATTAGAATCCTTAAACACATAATAGATAAATATTTAAAATGAAGAAGGCACAACAACTAAGACAAACGTGCTTAAAGGTTAATAGTTATTTTGTTCATACAATGCTTGATCACAATAATTTTATCAACTTAGTAATGAAATTAACATACTTATGTATACATTAGCAAATTTAACTATGAGTGACAATAAAAACTAATGTTGCGGACCAATAAAATTTAAGGGGCTTAGAGAAAAAAAGTTGGATAAAAGAGCAAATTAACTTTTAAACTATGGATTTGTGAGCATCTAAGATTCTAAATTTATTTTTTATAGGATAAAGAAAAATACCCACAAAATGGTTAGTTAGGGGCACTTAGTATTTTAAAGTGAAGAAAAGGATATAAATACTCATAACGTTACATGAGTGGGTGCAAAAGTAACCAAATCATTAATTTTGACATAATACCATTAACTTTAACCGTTAAATGTTGATTACAATGGCGGAGGGAGTGGGGACCAGCAGGGGCCATGGCTCTCCTAATTTTTAAAATTTTTTTTAATATTATATAGATGTTACATACTTTTGACCCCCCTAAAATTTATAAAAAATTTATAGTATATATGTTTTTTAATATTAGCCTCCCTTTTTTTAAATCATAGCTTGACCTCTAGTTGATTGTGCATGTCACTTGTCAGTCTTTGTTGACATTGACTAATAAAGGAGTAAAAATACCCACAAAGTCATTGGCCAAAAGCAAAAATATCTATAATGTT